GTACAAATGGAAATTGATGTATTTTACAAAATATTAAAGCAGTGTCAAAATGTTACAGTGATCCCCTTAGAAAAATCTCCAAATTACATAAATCTTACATTTCAAGTTCATAGAAAAACTGTTGCCGTCAAAGCTCTATTTATGCATCCCCAATGCTCCTAAGTACTTATTGGATAACATCAGCAAAGAAATTCTTTATCAAAATACTGCTGTATATACAAATATGTTAAGCCACACCAAAAAAAATAAAAAAATTTGATCTACAGATTTTTTTAACAAAAAAAACATTTGAGAAGATAAAGTTACATTGTGAAATTGCCCAATTTCCTGTAAGCTATAGAACATTGTATCTTGGCATCCTGACAACTCTTACAAACAACTCTCCAAACTCATTACAATTCATGAGTGTGTCATCTGTTTGCTTCACTAAACTGGAAATGCAAAGATGATTAAAAAATGTCAACCAGAGTCAAGTCTGGGTGATGTGGGTTTCTGGATTAGCAAGCAAATAATAAAAGAAAAATCCTGAAAAAAACTGGAGCACAGGTTTCTGTCAACCAAGATTTTTCTTTTGGTGTGGTCTTATAGAAACATTTGTTTCATTGTGAACTATTAACAGTTTCCACAGGATCCCATTTACTATTACAGCCATTTAACTCATTAAACCTTAATTTCATTTGAAACGATTCCCCTCAGTGGTGAAAAATCTAATGACTGTAAAACACGCGCTTCAGCAACCCTTCTTACACATAAATCATTTAGGACACATGAAAATTCACTCATGTGACAATCCACTCTTGGGACCATTCACCTTCATCAAAATTAGCACCTTCCAAATTTATTTCCATGACAACTTTTGTCTAGTTAATTCATTATAAGCTTATTTCATATCATAAAAAAAGTTTGTACATGTTCAGTAGGTTTATTACTTTTTTTTTACCACATTTTGTAACTAAATAATTTTTATGATTTAAATATCTTGTAAGATATGTCTCTTTGTCATAAACTTCATCAAATAAGTACGAATAATCCAAAACATTGGTAAATGAGCATATTATTGTCAGCATGAATTTGGAATGAGCATATTTTGACTGGCGTGAACCGATGTGGAATTGAACTGTAAGGGAAACTAATTAGTGGAAGCAAACTGTCGAGTTATCAATTATTTATTACCCCAGCTTACTTCCCGTTTGATACCCAGCAAACATTACATAACGTGAAAATGGTATCTCTCAAACTAGCATCTATACCATGGTGAGGTTACACCAATCGTAAGGCTTAAGTTCTGTTAAACCAACATGTATGTGCTCATACCATCAATATCCCACATGCATACCACCAGTTACCACTTGAAGCCAGTAATTTCTAGAGCTCAAAACCTGTGTGACCAGAAGAATGTAAAATCTATTATAACTGCATTAATACATGTGTATATGTTCATACACTACCACAGAAAATTTAAATTCACCTTTTTAATTCCACAGTTAATATGCCACACCTCCTCGGATAGAAACTTAGATGTGAGATGTTGTGTGCTTGGCCCATGTCTGTTCCTCATTTTCAATCAAATTTCTGTTTTAATCCTATAAGTGAGACGACCAAGAAGAAAAAAAAAAAGTAGGTTATATCTAATATATGGCATATACCCGAGCATAGGGTTCTACTCCAGCAGATCTCACTTCTACTACATCTTCTGCCCTTCTTTCTGCGTAATGTGGCCCAAGTTTTTTAGTCTCTCCATACATGTGATGCTAATGCTGTTTGTCTCTTAGTTTACTGGAATCTGAGTTAACTGAAAGTGTGGAGAAACTGTTGTGTTACACTCTTTCTCTCCACTTCACGTGAAAAAAGTAACATTACAATATCATTGTCTTTAAACATACACACACCTATCTATATATACACTTATGCATTGTACACATATATACAAACTCATTTGTAATGAATTTACTACTCTTACCTGAAAATATATATTCTTCGTGTGATTACATCACATACATTCATCCACATGACTGTTATACACTGAGTGGTCACAAGTAAATAGACGCCACCTTTTCAGAAAAAATGAAATTTTTCAGTCATATTCACATGAATTG